GTTAATTTAAGTTCCGAAAATAATATTTAAAAAAAGAATTTTTTTGATTTTTCCATTTATTTTGCATTTTAAAATTATTTTTAGAATATGTACAGTGTAATATTCTATTTAGAATATTTCACGTATTTTAAAAAAAATAGAATTTTTTTTTTTTAGTTAATTCAACTTCCGAAAATAATATCTAAAAAAAGAATTTTTAGATTTTTCCATTTATTTTGCATTTTAAAATTATTTTTTAGAATATGTCAGTGTAATATTCTATTTAGAATATTTTACGTATTTTAAAAACCAAAAACAGGATTTTTGTTTAATTATTTTTATTTTTATTTTATTTTATTTTTATTTTTTTTAGTTAATTCAAGTTCCGAAAATAATATTTAAAAAAAGAATTTTTGGATTTTTCCATTTATTTTCCATTTTAAAATTATTTTTAGATTTGGTCTCACGGTCTCACAAAATTAGAATGGTCTCAAATGAACCTGAACGTGTGTGTGTTATATATATATATATATATATATATATATATATATATATATATATATATATATATATATATATATATATATATATATATATACGGAAAAGTGAATATACCCTTAAGGGTATATAAGCTTACGTACCAAAAAACGCAATAATACATCGTTTTGTTTGATATATTCATTATAATATTGTTAAACTTCAACCATAACTTGATTTACTTTCAAGATATTCGAAATTTCACTATTATCATTCACTTACATCACATATTTTTGCCGAACACCAAACTACGTTATATATATTGGAGTTGAAAATGAAAATTATATAAAAGGAAGATAAATGTGTAAATTATAAAAATATTGGAAGTAAATCAAGTTAGAAATTAAATTATAAGAACATTGGACAATTAAAATGTATTATATGATAGAAAACGATGTAGTATGCTGAGTTTGGGTACCTAAGCTTATATACCCTTAATGGTATATTCACTTTTCCCATATATATATATATATATATATATATATATATATATATATATATATATATATATATATATATATATATATATATATATATATATATATCTTAAAATATAAAGAAAAAAAAACATTTATGTAGTTTACCGTATGTGTTACTATTGTACTAGTATATTACTGTGCACCGGTCCGACTCGGACTGAGTTTCTCTACTCTGGTTGGTAGGTCCCTTACCTCTCAAAGCTTTTTAGAGAGAGAAATAGGGTTTTAGAGAGAGAAAACCCCAAGGGTTTTAAACTTTCACCAAGAACCAATAATTCAATGGAAGAAGCTTCGTCGCCATTGTCGCAACCTAAAAAGAGAGGAAGGCCGAAGGGCTCCAAGAAGGTCGCCGCTGAAGACAGAGAAATTTCAAGTCCTAAGATGAGAGACAGAGTTACAGCTGCCGGAAACAAAAAGGCCGCCGTTGTCGACGATAAGTACAATAACTGGAAGTTTGTAGTCCCCATTCTGTATGACTGGCTTGCTAATCACAACCTCGTTTGGCCTTCTCTCTCCTGCCGGTATGAATATTTTCAAACTTACGATCGATTAGATCCCAATGCTCCATGATTCGACTTGCTTTTTAAAATGGTACAAAAAAAAACCCTAGAATGTCTACTGTTTTTTCAGTTCTTTCGAACACTTTCATGGTCCACTGGATCATTTTGTGCATCGATAGTTCATATAAGATTTACTACCTTGGAAAAAGGCTACATAAAACATCGAAACTTATGTAGGTTTTAATGGTTGCTTGTATCATTTTGTGCACCAATTATTCTTATTATGTGAATAGATGGGGTCCGCTGCTGGAACAATCGAAGAACAAGAGTAGGCAGAGGTTGTATCTTTCGGAACAGGTTAGTTTAGCAGTCTTCTTTCTCCTTTTTTAGGTTTTTGTTTTCATCCCGCCATTAATGGCGCTTCTTGTTTAGACTGATGGCAGTGTTCCAAACACACTAGTAATAGCAACATGTGATGTAGTGAAGCCAAAAGTTGCTGCAGCAGAACACATATCTCAGGTAAAAAGAAAAGTTTTTTTTACTCAAATTTATCATCTTCTTCTTCCTATTTCTTTTCAGTATTCCTTAACCGGTTATGTGATTTCTTCTTTTAGTTCAATGAAGAAACTCGCTCTCCATTTGTAAAAAAGTACAAAACCATCATTCATCCTGGAGAGGTAAAAATCATATACACAACCCGAATCAATCATTTCACACTATCAAAACGTGTCTTTTCCCTCATCTATATAACCATTTTTACAGGTGAACAGAATTCGGGAACTTCCACAAAACAAGAACATTGTTGCTACACATACAGACTGCCCAGAGGTTACAATCACGAATCATCCTTCCATACACTTTTATCACAGTAACAAAGTTTCATGTGATATTCCTAAAATACCCTCATGGTTATCCAATTCAGGTCCTCATTTGGGATATTGAAGCACAACCTAATCGTCATGCTCTTCTTGGAGCTGCTGTATCTCATGCTGATTTGGTCTGTTCCAAATTAGTATTATTTCCTTATTTATATTAGGAGAATCAAATTAATATTATTTATTTATTCTTTATTTTCTTTTTAAATTTCTTTCAGGTGCTTACAGGACATGCTGATAATGCAGAATTTGCTCTTTCAATGTGTCCAACTGAACCTTATGTACTCTCTGGAGGTCAAAAGATTCATAATTCTTTAAAGAAATAATATAAATTTATAACCAATTAAAAAAATTCCAACTTTTTATTATTTTTTTTACAGGAAAGGATAAACTGGTTGTTTTATGGAGTATTCATGATCATATATCAACATTGGTTGGAGAATCAAACACAACCAATTCTTCAGGGTCAATTGTGAAAACTTCTGATAATGCTTCTATTGGTCCTCGTGGGATATTTGAAGGGCATACAGATACAGTTGAAGATGTCCAGTTTTGTCCAACAAGGTAACTTTTATAAAATACCTACAAATTTCAACTTTTATATAATTATTTGATTTTGTGTTTCAACTTTCTGTATATGTTTGTAAAGTACACAGGAATTCTGTAGTGTTGGAGATGATTCTTGCTTGATACTTTGGGATGCAAGAGTTGGAACAAATCCAATCACAAAGGTTTGTTTTAATTTGTGGATTTTTATCACATTTTTATTTTATTTTTATATTTATAATTTCTTTAAAATAGGTTGAAAAAGCACATAATGCTGATGTTCATTGCGTTGATTGGAGTCCTCATGATGCAAACTATATTCTAACAGGGTAAATCCTAAAACCCTAAAACCCTAAAAAAACCTTAAAAACCATAAAAACCCTAAAATACTAAACCCTAATTTTGTAATTTTCAGGTCAGCTGACCATTCTGTTTGTATGTTTGACCGGAGGAATTTGGTTTCTGATGGAGTTGGATCTCCTGTTCATAAATTTGAAGAACACAAAGCTCCTGTTCTTTGTGTTCAGGTATTCAATTGCAAATTTACCTTTTTGCCCTTTCTTTTTGATTTATATTTAGAATTCTTTTTATGTTTTGTAGTGGTGTCCAGACAAACCTTCTGTGTTTGGGAGCTCAGCAGAAGATGGTTGTGTTAATATTTGGGATTATGAACAGGTAAAAAAAAGTCAAAATACATTGCTTTTTCTTGCATAAACCCATTTTTTATTTTTTTTATGTTTTTGTTTTGGTTTGTGTTGACTTTATATATATTTTGCATTATAATATGATTAAGGTTGGACAAAAGATAGAAAGGGGGACAAGATCTGCAAACTATGCTCAAGGGTTGTTCTTTAAACACTGTGGACACAGGTTTCAGTTTTTCATGTTTTTTTATTTTTTATTAGAATTATAAATAATTGACATGTTACATTAATATGATTACAGAAACTAATATTGTTATTTATATGTAATTCAGGGACAAAGTGGTGGACTTTCATTGGAATGCTTATGATCCATGGACTGTTGTGAGTGTATCGGATGATGTTGAATGTTCAAGTGGTGGTGGGACCCTTCAGGTAATTGATATATATATTTTATTTAATTTAATATTGAATATTTTGAAGAAGAGAAATAAAAAAGTTGGGTATTTATTGTAGATATGGCGCATGAGTGATTTGATATACAGACCAAGGGATGAAGTGTTGAGCGAGTTAGAGGCTTTTAAGGCTCATGTTGCTAGTTGTGGTCCAAGGGCATCATCATAGGATACAAGATGACTGTTTTCTTTGACTTTGGTTGACTTAAGCTTAGATTTTTCTGGATGTTTGTTTGTGTTGATGTTGAAAAAGTAAGTAGTAGGGGGATTTGTCTTTCTTATTTTTGGGTGAATTTTATGTAAGATCACATCTATTGACTATGTCTTTAATGGGCTTTCTATAGACCGGAAAATGACTTATTTTATATTGAATTTGAAACTATAGTAAGTACACAAAAAATTAATTAGGGACCAAACAAATCTAACTAAATTTAATATATTTATTTACTAGTTTATAATCCGTGGGAACCATGGTTATAATAATTAAACTTATAGTAAAAATTCAATATTATTAATTAGTTATTTTAAATAAATTATTAGTTTAAGAGATTTTTTTACTTATGTAAAATTATAATCGTTAATTCAAATAAATATGTAAAATTAATTTTTAATATATATTAGATATTTTTTATTTGTAAATTAATGAAAATATTAATATAAAATTTAAATTTTAAAATAAAAAATAAATATATTGACAAATAACATTACATTAATAAGAATGTCTAAAATATTTAAAATGAAGAACTAATATATTGATAAGTGGTAACATATTAATTAAGAGGTCTAATATGATGATACATGACAAAAAAACTACTCTTTTATTAGTATAAGAATTTATATTTAACTACAAATTAAACTAAAAAAAAAACTTAGAAAATTTAAGTTATAAACATAAACCAAAAACCCTATAAGATTTCAAAATTTTGCTCTTTTACTGTTGAAGATTTTTTTTTTTTTTTTGAAGTTAAATGTGAATCCAAAAATAGCATCAATTCATCTTGCTTTGAATTTGTCGATGAACATGCACTAGAAACTCAACATATGAGAGACCATTTGGAGACTTGTCTTCCACCATATACGAAAAGAACAACATTCCTGAAATTATATAAAAAAACTTAGATTAAATTTTTTTAAAAATGTTACACGGGGTGCTTTGTAAAATGATGAAAATGTTACCTGATTGATCTCCTTTCTTGCATAATTTCATGCTGCAAGAAAGAAAAATAATTTTAAGAATATAAATTAATTTTAATTAATTGGGACATAACTCATAAGTCACACAACACGTACCGAAGATAGTTACATCTTTGGCTTCTTATTTCATTTATAACCTCATTTAGCTTCTTTGACAAAGGATTACCATACTGTTGTAACACAAACTGAATATAAAAAAGAAACAAGTAAAACGACTATATTGCTCTTTATTTGATACTTTTACAAATCATATATTATATATTATTTATTTTTTTTAAAAAAAAAAGCAAGCGTACCTGAGTAGGAATTTCATCAAGCGAAGAAACGCCAAACAGTTTGCGAATTATATCAGGATCTACAGAGTTTCCAATATAAACTAAACAATCTTCACCATTTTCAAGAAGATAGATTCCATCATCACTCACATGTTCACTACACAAGGGAATAGCATGAGGAATCACAGATCCATCTGTCTCCTGTAACCCCAAAAAAAACAAAATTACATTTTTGGTCCCTGAGTATAGCTGATTTTTACAAATTTGGTCTAAAAAAGTTGCAACTTCGGTCCTTATTGGTTCTTGTAGATGTAACTTTTTGTCCATGTTCAAACTTCAGAGTAAAATTACTAATTTTGCAAATTTGGTCCTAAAAATAGTCATTTTACTTGGAACAAGGACCAAAATGTTACAAAAACCCTAAATAAGGACCAAAAATGTAATCTACTCTATTAAACATATAATATACCTTTGAATTGAGATCATGTACGCTTATCATCCTTGGGTACACAAGAGGGATTGCCAATTGAGTAGACAAAGGAAGAACATAATTAATCCAAAACGATCTCTCATCTATACGCCCATCACTTCGCAACCCAATACTTTTAATCAAAGCTAAACAAAAAAATAGGATAAAGATTAGAGGATGCCATTGCCACGTGGCATATCCATATGCTGACTCACCAAGAAAGATGAAAGATATACCTACCGAGAGTGTACAGAGGCAAAAGCTTGAGTGCTTCTGGAAGTATGAGCTGTCCTGATGATGACACGGTGGCACAAAATTTGCGATAAGAATGAAGAATGTTGATGCAAAGATTTGTCACTTGCTCCCTTACTTGCACTAATGGGCTTGAAGGGATTTCAATTGCAGCTGAAAAAAAAACAATAAATTAAATATCATTATATTTTGTTTTTTGTATTTTCGATGAAATTAATTAGTAGCTTTTCATCCTTAAGGTTTTTGTAATGTATTCCCTTTTTTTCATTATTAAAATGGAACATAGACCAAAAAAAACGTTAGGGACCAAAATTGCAAAAATAAGTTATACTCAAGGACGAAAAATGTAATTTACTCGATAAGAAAGTACCTTGTTTTAAAAAACATGAAAATTGGGTGTCCAGGTCAGCAGAGCGGAAAAGATTACTGAGCATAGTTGTACATGGTAAAGATAAGGTGGATACTCGTATTCTTCGTTGCCCATATACACTTGTATATAAAAGTGCACACTGTAAAAAAATATAAAAACAATATCATTTATAAAGCAACAAACCACATTTATTAAAAAAAAAAAAAAAAAAAAACTATATTTAAAAATAAAAAAGTACCTGAAAAGCACATTCTGTGCCATCTTGCATTTTATCATCGTGTTTTAACGTTACCATTATCGTTTTGTCACAATCAATCTTGCAAAAACCACAATACAAATCAAAGTAATTTACAAAAATGGTCCCTCTACTTTCTAATTTTCACCTTGTTTAGTCCAAAACCGAAATTTGGTCCATAGGAAACCAAATTTGAAAAAAGAAATAGATTTTAATTTTGGACTAAACATGGTAAAAATCAGAAAGCACAGGGACTATTTTTGTCAAAAAATCAAGAGGAGAGGGACAAACCGCAGGGAGATCAATGTCTGTAGGAATGCGTTTGCAGAAGTTACCAAAGTATTCTTCTGCTTGAACACCCTACAGAATTTAAGAATTTTAAAAATAAATGTAAAATAAAATTATAAAAATTTAATTTACTAAAAGCTGACCTGGCTACATCTGACACGCATTACTGCTTCAAAACCTTGAGGTCTTGTGACATTCCATCGAAGATCATTATAAAGTTTTGCGGGATCAGAGAGAGCAGAAAAAGGGTGATAATAGTACACCTGTCATAAAAAAAGTCAACAAGTCAACGGCTGAAAATATTTATTAAAAAAAAAAAAAAACAAAAACAAAATGATATTACCTGCCCTCCAGTTGTCCTTGGAACAACGGAAACTGAAGCAATGTCCACATAACTTTGTGTTGTTATAAATACATCAACAGAAACCTGAAAAAAAAAATTAAAAAGTTATAAATATTTAAAGAACATACAACAATTTAATAACATTTAACCTGATACTCTGCAAATTCAATAGCCATTGTCTTTAAAGTCTTGTCTACTGGTTGAAGTAATTTATGAGGTTCCTGAAATTAAAAAAAAAAAGAAAGATATTATTATTAGTTTATTACAAATATAAAGAAATAAAACAATATGATTTTGTTTAATGTAGAAATTACCTTTTCTCCTGAAGATATATTACTTCTTCCTTCAGCTTCTCTAGCAGAAAGAGCGCCAATTCCAGCAGCAGGCAAGACTATGATAAAATACAATAATAGAATAATTATTAATATAAAACTATAAATAATTAATTAGTTATTAAGATTTAAGATAAAATAAAGTTGACACAAACTTACCTGATTGAAATACCAAAAGTTTTCCTCCAGTATTCTTCATTGCCAAAAAAGCACCCTGAGTGAAACAGAAGCAAAAAAACTTAAAACTTATGGTATAAATAATAAAATAAGCTGATTAATTTTTGAAAATATATTTATATATATTTTTAATTATTACCTTCATTCCAGCACCAAAAGCTGAATCAGCTGTTTTATTATTCTGAAACATAGTTGGGATGCTTTCCAGCAACAAATCTAGATGCTCACGACACTGTGATCATATAATTAAATACACTTAAAAAAATTATTCATAAGTTCCTGAATTAAAAAATAAAAAATAAAAAATATGAAAATTTTATCACCTCAGAAAGTTGAACAACAACATCTGAAGGGAGAGGAGTGTAAACATCATGTATGTCTGGAACTAAGAACATCAATGGCTGCAATAAAAATAAAGATCTTCAAATAATTTATTTTGAAAGTTTAAAACTTTTTTAAAAAAAATAAATAAATCACTTGTTGCAATGCGCGTTTCAGATTATAAAAATGGATAGTTGAGTCAAATGTAGCAATTCCCACTAGTGTCTTAGGACCCTCCTGCACCAATCATATTATTATTATAATTATTATTATTACAAATCAGTAATAAATTAATTTCAAGAGAAAATAAAAAATTGTAAATTTTTTATTACAAACTTACTGGAAGATCAGCAACAACTCGACTGATAGCACTACAAGCTCCAGCTGTAGCACCTGTTTGTATGGCATTCATTGATACATCAACAAGAAAGAAAAAGACAGCTGGCATTGGTTCCCTCACCTAAAAAAAATATAAATTAAAAAATATAGTTTCTATAAACTTATATAAACTTCAAGTTTTTGTTTATAAATCTAACCAGAAATTCTCTTGTAGCAACAAATTCAACTGTTCCTCTACATAACTCAGGCCTTTCATCAGCATCTCTCCTTCTTCCATCTGGACCTAAATTACACTGATATTCACGGGGAGTTTCATCCGTAAAACCTACAAATTTTTTTTTTTTTAATCACAATAAGTCAATAACATGAAATAGTAAATAATAATATTTCAACAATCAATACTCACCACAGAAGTTACAGATAAATCGTTTTCCTTGATCAATAAACTTCATGAATGGATTAATGTAGCCTTTGCAACGTGAACAACGAACTGGTCCACTTTCACCAAAGTCAACTACCTAAATTATAAATTTTTAGCAAATGAGAAACATAATAATACAAAAATTCAAATTTATTATTATTATTTTTTTAAATTACTTGAATAGGCTCTTCAGATGGATGAGGGAGGGCTAGGGGTTGCACCAATAAAGCCAAAGGCATCCCGGATGTGGTCAACAGATCAGAAGTGCATGGAATCTGGTCAAAGTCAAACAACAGAAAGTTTTACTTTTACAGTTTTACATTAAACTAAGCATAAAAAAAAAAAATTAAAAATGGAAATTAGTCAAATTACCTGATTAATTGTACACCTCATGTACCTTGGACTACAATTTCCAGTATCCCTTGCAATGAATTCACTTGTAGCAGGCTTTAGAATAAAACAACATATAGCATGTAGCATAATATGTGATATGTCATATACTCATATGTGAAAAGTGAAATAAATAGCAAAGAATTTAAGAAAATAGAAAATAGAAAATACCGGTGGAGGATTGGCTTGATTTCCTTGGCGGGTTTCGTGCAAAAGTATGGAGGAAGATGGAATAGGGCGGGGGATTTGGTTAGGGTCAATTCTTGAAGGTCCTGTGCCTACAGTGGGGCCCATGGTGGGTGATATTGTAGCCATTGATTGTTGATTTGGAAGTGATGGTTGCATCCCAATCATTCTTGGAGGTTGAGGAGAGACAGAAGAAGGTGGAGGTGGGCCAGGTGGCATATTCTAGAACATAGGAATAGATTTCATATAGTGATTCGAGTTGCGTTGTATTAATATTTAATAGAAAATAGAAAATGAAAACTTACTTGACGAGATTGCATTTGCCATGGTTGAGCTCCAAATGGAGGTATGCTTTGACCTTGGGCTGAAAAAGGAGGAGGTATGCCACCTGGAGGTGGTGCTGAAAAAGGTGGAGCTGGTTGTGGTTGTACTGGTCTTGGTGGTGCATTCATGGACTGGCTTCCAATGCTTGATTGCATATTTTGCCCCAAAAGGGGAGGACCAGGTGGCATGGTTTGTCGAGGTGGTGGAGGTCCACCTGATGGTCTTGGAGGGTTGGTAGGACCACCTTGCATGCCACCTTGTCCAAAAGTTGGCGGTCCATTACTCAATGGACCGCCATGTCCAGGTCCACCACCAGGGGAGGTTGAAAACGGACCTGGACGAAGACCTGGAGGAGCCATTGGCCTTGAAGAAGATGGAGGAGGTTGGTTACTACCAGGCGGACCACCACCACCACTAACACCACTAGTTGGTCGATTAGAGGCCATGAAAGGTGGCAATGCAGCTTGTGGTGGTCCGCTAGGTGGTGGCATTGCACCTCTAGGAACAACACCAGGTGGTGGTGCTCCAGGAAACGGGGATGAAGGAAAAGGTTGTGACTGGGGTTGGGGTTGTGGTTGTGGTCGGGGTTGGTGTCCAAAAGGGGGAGGCGGACCTCTAGGTCCACCACCGGAATTGGGTGGCTGATTAGGGCGATTGATTTGCAGGTTTTGCATGTTATTGGCAATCGAATTAGGGTTATAATTAGGCGGTAGATTACCGGGTCTAGGTCCACCGGGAGTTGCCATTGACAACGACCGTCAGAAGAACAAACAATTCCACACTACAATGCATCAATATCAAACTTTTATGCATCAAACATCAAGAAAAAACAGACCCCATAACAATAGAATTCACACGAATCACAACCGATAAACTTCACAAAAGCAAATGTAACATTCGACATGATCTGGAATAATCCTTTGAAATCAAGTGATACACAAGCAATTCAATGGACATACCTGTAGTTGAATTCCACTGATCGAACTGTGAAGATGGAATTATATGAAAAAGCGTTTGTGAAGAAAACCTAAGTAAGGATCAATGGAATTCAAGGTTAGCTATTGTTGCATCGTTACTGTTTTTTTGTTTCTTTCTGCATAATTGGCTCCATTTAGGAGTTGTACTTTATGCATTACTGATGGTACAGAACGTTCATGAGAAAACGGGTCACAGCAGTTCGGTAACTTACGGGTCGATTTAAATGGGTTGGGTCGTTAGCTTGGCAACTCGCTTTGTAGGTTTCAATGGGCCGCGGCCCATAATTGTTTTCTTGATTGTTGATTTTATATACATAAATTGTAATATTGTATCCTACATTTTTTGTTACTTATAAATGCTTACATATTATAAATGCTTACTAATTTTTGTTAAATTTTATAAATTCAAAAGAGAACATGCCGGAATAAATATGTAGTTGTATAAGACTCCTTGAAAAGAAGAGTATTTTACATTTTATACTTTGTATGAATTTCAAAGGGCATGCCATCTTAAAAGAAACAAAATTACTATTTAACATCTCATTAAATTTAATAAAACTTAACAAAAGATGAAATTTTTGTGATGAAGAGAGCATACTTTATAATAAAACACGAGCATGATACTTTTTAAAGTACGATCACTGTCTTTTTCTAAAATTATTTTACATGTTATACGTTATCAGATGTATCTTTAGTTCTTTGACAATTGTGCGTTTTAAATCAAACAAACGTCCACATCATGGTCTTGTCCACCTTAGTACAAATCAAATAAGTCCATCATATCATGTTTGTATACGGCTTTTCATAAATATGTCAATAATATAAAGTAGTTTATGTGTATACTTTCATTCAAAATTTATAATTTCTTTTGTAAAATGAAAGTTGATCAAAGGTTATGGGATCGATCAAGACCACTCGTAATGTGTGGGTCATGTTGTGTTGGACACACATGTGACTTGATGATGACAATTTATGGTGTGTGGGCCATATTTCATTGGATACACATGTGACTTAGAGATATCATCACCTTATTATTGAAACAAAACCATCATTAAACACAATGTCACTACAATCAATCGTACATGTGTTTCTTTTATGATCAAACACTTAAGATTTGGAATGTGGTTTATTTTAAATGATACATATAACATAAAGATTGTGTAATAACTACACATCAATATCATATCATTAGACATGTATTAAAAAAACTACATATCACATATAGTTTAAACCTAAGATTTCCTAATGGATTCTATTAAATTCATACATGAAAATGTTATGTATGCAAAATTTAAGGATCTTGAACAAGGAACAAGATCTTTTGTTTGAACTTTTATAGTACTCGAGAATCTTTCTCCAAGAAGTAAGGGACCGGGAGTATGGGTCAAGTGTCGAACATATTGAGTATTTGGTTATGTTTAGAGAAAAACTTAAGGATTAGAATTTGGATGTGACATGTGTATATTATATAATATAATATTTATATGTTAATATAGTAAATATTACATGAAGAAAAGAAAATATTAAGTTGGTTGATTAGCAACCAAAGATTAGTTGGTCTAATTGGTGATTAGTCGGTGACTAGTTGAGAACCTTAATTATAATCAGTTAAATTTTAAATAAATAAATATGACTAATATGATATTAAAATAGGTAAATACGATTAATATCATATAAAAAATAAGTTAATATATGTAATCGATACGATACGGATAATTCTTCAAATAATTTTTATTGACATAAACGCCTTCAAGATGTTAAAAATTCATTGATTTCGACAATTCCACTAATTGTTTAGATGCCACCTAATCAATCGCGTACCTTATAGTCGATGTTTTTACGACTCTATTGTTTACAACACTGGTTTATAAAACCAGGTGCAGAAAAATCAAAAGAACAACGATCAAATCAATGTTTGAAGAAATAAAAACTTAAATATTGAAAAAATGTTATAATAACAAAATCACTTTAAAACAATTTCATTATCATGCCACCTCCACTATCAGTTAAAAGAAAAGATTTAATCAGATCCATCATATAAAAAGTTAAATTTAAGGAAATAAAATATGTGATACATAAGAAGGTATTGTGCCCTACACAAATACGACACAAGCTCAACTATATATATTTTTTTCTAGTTCTTGAGATATCTACATCACCTTTCAAATATCTGGAAATTTGTATTACCATATGTTTACAATAATTTAAAAGCATTATAAGTATGTTAAATCAATCATATCTTAGAAACCATTTTTAGTATATTTAGTTGGTTTAATTAATCATTATGCCAATATTTGGTAATATTATATCATAAAATATTTTAGTTGATGTAGCAACATACCCACTTTAGGTATTAGTTTGGCAACTCTAAAGTAGAGCACTTGCTTTAAAACAAAGTTAAGATAATATTTATATTATGATGGTTAAACGTTGTAAATAATATTTATTTATAGAAAGTTATAATGTTTTTATTTTTAGGAAACTCTTTAAGTTAAATTTTGTTATTTATAATTTTATATTTGGTTTGGATTATGTTTGACGTGGCTGAAAAAGTTGTTGCTAGCTGAAAATATAGCGGCTAACTAAAAACTTAGCTGTTAAAAATAATATTTAATAAAAATTAACTAAAAGGTTAGGTGAAAAATATAAAATAACATAAAAACATATTTAAAAAAATATACTTTTAGGTGAAGGGAGTAGGAAGTAGAGTCGGACATATATCAGGCAGACAACCGGGGATTGATGTGAAGTTCGGCAAAAAGAAGAATACTACCTTCACATCTTGGCATACCGATGTTTTATGTGGATTTTGACATATTCTATTGGTGATATGGAGTTCAACATCCTCTCCGCGACACTTTACAACCTTATAATTAATTAATGATATATTTCAAAAAATTTAAAATTAATTAAGGGCTTAAAATGACTAGTTTGAATAACTTTTAGGTTGACTAACTTTTTATATCTAGAGTAAATTACATGAATGGTCCCTATTGTTTAGGGTAAATTACACGGTTGATCCCTAACTTATTTTTTTAACTCGGAAGGTTTCTATTATTTGTTTTTGTTACGCGCTTGGTTCCTACTGTTTGTTTTTGTTACGCGTTTGGTCTTTGTCTTACCTACGAAAACTATTGGGCAAATTACACAGATGGTCCCTATGGTTTAGGGTAATCTGCATGCTTAGTCCCTAAGAACTATTTTTAACTCAAACCGTCCTTAATTGATATTTTTGTAACACGCTTGGTCCCTGTCCGTTCTAAAAAGACTGATTTGCCCTTACTAATTTCTTTTACCTTTTTAAAATTATTAGTTAATTAATAATATATATTAATTAAATATGAAAAGTGTATTAATTAAATATATATTTGTTTGATTCAAGATCCTACACCATCGTACCCTCCTCCCCTCCCCTTCCCTGCCTCCTTATGTTTAGTTACTGGAAAATCTGACTCCATTCGCCGGAAAAATCCAACCTCAACCAGAAAACGCCGGACTCCATCGGAAAACACTAGGTTCCACCGAAATCCAAACCAAAAATCATTACCAATACCATGGAAATCACCCAGAATTCAACAGAAAATACCTATCGTTCAACAACAAATGTGAAAAATACATCTCAAACCAAAACATTTAACTAAGATCAAAACCAAAATAAAACCTGAAAATCAAATCTAAAACCAAAATGGAACAGAAGATCTTGGATCTGTCAATTTTTTTCTTCACAGTCTCTACATTTTGGGGTGAAAGAATAGAGAAATCAAGTATGGTTAAGGGAAGATTGGAATCGGTATTAGAACCCATGGATTTAGACTGCCACAGGGGGGGATTTAATCATCGGAAATCAAACTGATTTCTACAGTAGATATGAAATTACATGAATCCAAAATTAAAGCTAAAACAAAATCATGAAGCACAAAGTGCAACCCGGTTGCAAATAGGGTGATGAAACACCGTTGGTGCTTTATCAAAAGCAGTTGTCGATGATAATACTTTGTGGAACGGCGATGTCAAGATTGAGGAAGTGGGGGACGAAGGAAATAAATGAGACGTAGGTCTCATGTCCGGCAAACACGACCACCCGATGATCGGTATACATCCGACGACCACCAAAAGAAATTAATTTCTGATGTTCAACCATTGGCGACTGGTTGCCGGAATATGAGAGGGAGACGAGATGGTGATGATGCAGGTTTGGGGGAAAAGATTCGTGTTCTCATGAGAATGAAGGAGGGGTATTAAGTTAAGTTGGGGTGTCCTTGAATCAAACAAATATATATTTGATTAATACATTTTTCATATTAAATTAATATATATTTTTAATTAACTGATAATTAAAAAAAGGTAAAAGAAACCAGTAAGGGCAAATCAGTCTTTTTAGAATGGACAGGGACCAAGCGTGTTACAAAAATATCAATTAAGGACGGTTCGAGTTAAAAATAATTCTTAGGGACCAAGCATGCAGATTACCTTAAACCACAGGGACCATCCGTGTAATTTACCCAAAACTATTATTTAAATAAGAAAAAATGGTGGGGTAGGTAAGATAAGGTGAAGAGGATGGGGTGAGGGAAAAATAATATTTTTAGATAAGACATACTAATCGCATAACAAAAACAAACAGTAAAAACCTTTTAAATTAAAAAAATAAGTTAGGAATTAAACACGTAAATTACCCTAAACCATAAGGATTATTCGTGTAATTTACTCATATCTATAAACATAAAAAATAAAAAAAAAAAAAAAAAAAAAAAAAAAAAAAAAAGCTAGTTGTATACCAAACACAATCTTGAACTTAAAATATTTACTATATTTTTTTATCATTCTATAATTTATTAAATATCTATAATGTAATAATCTTTAAGATTAAATATTAAAATGAATATTGTAGTTTCTACATGTTAATATTTTAATTCATTTCAATCTTCGCTTTATTCAACTATATTTTAATTTTTATTATTTATTTATTATCCTCAATAAGAATCAAAACGTTGAACAAGTCGATTGTGATTTATAAAATATCGGATTTTATTAGAGGTGGGTAGAGTAGTTTTGTACGGTTTTAGTCGATCAACTATTTTGTCTATTGTTTAATATTTTATTAAATAATCATAAATACCATTTTTAAAAAAAAAAATCTTTTACGAGATTTGGGAGCATTCAAATATCTTGAATGACTTTGAAAATGTTTCATGATTGAAAATTTTAAGTTATAAAATCATGATCGTAAAACATAGTAGAAATTAGAAAATCTTATCAAAATGAACTAGCATTGAGATTTACTCGCAATGTCTCGTTAGTACAATACATATTAGAATTTGATGTTGCTTAATATATCGATGATGAAATCAACTTTAATCACTATTTCAACATGGATCAAAGTTATTCTAGTTTTTATAAGCCCTACCGCAATGAAACCATACAATAATATTGGTGGAGGAGCAAGACTTGGTGCCTAAATCAACAAAATGGTTCATCTTAATTTCAAACCGGTTAAAGATGACTACACGAGTCTTCAACCGACAAGAAGTTGGACTAAGTGATGAAATTGTTAAAGAATGACTTCAAACAAGAGAAAACTGATTTCAAAGCAACTTCAATGTTGTGGAGGGAGAGAGTTGCGTCTGGATGCAATGGCGCCGCCCATGAGATCAAGCTCATCAATTCTTAATTAAGTGACCATTTTTTTGGCGAGGTTGACGACTGTTTGAACTTCTAGCAATTGTGTATCAATACTCAGGAAATTATTGTATTGTTGTTTTCTCTCGGCTAACTCTGGCGATTTTGGACCTCCTGGGATCGGCGGGATCAAATGTTGATCATAATTCTTTTCTGTTCGATTGATGAAGTTTATCGGAGTGTTTTGGTGGTACGTGTTCATTGATCAGAATATGAAACTCGGTAGATCAATAAAAGGGTTCTCATAAACCCTACTTGGAGCCTAAGTCACGTTTTGGGAATGATATAATTTTTCTAGCGTAAGCCCTACTATTTCTTTTTTCTACATTACGAACTTTACTGATTATATTATTCAGAATGATTTAAGACGTGCATGTGAATGTATTAGAAAAGTTTATGATGTTTTTATTTCCAAGAAGTTGCCTCGGTTGGGAAAAAGGTTTGTGTTTCTTAGATTCTTAGGCAAAGTTAATGTGGGGGATACGATTAAGAAGTTATGTGACATTTGGTTTGGTTATCATAAGCTATTTGCTTCTTTGCATGGAGAAATTCGGTTAAACCATTATTTTACAAAGCTCCTATAGATAATTTTAGGGTTGAGAAGGTTGCATCCCCAACTCTTTCTTATGCTAATGTGGTTAGATGCTCTTCCAACGTTAAATGTGATAAACCACATATGGATGAGGTCCTTGTTCTTCAATCCGATGACTATATTGTTGAGAAGAGAAAAAGAGCTTGCCTCGTAAAAGTTAGAGACTTTATTACTTTACCAAATATTCGTTTGCTTTGTTATGGTAAAGGTTTTGTTGATTTTGATGTTCGGTATGTTGGTGGATTGTGGGTTATGTTGGAATTCAAAGGTAGGGAAGCTTGCAAAAATTTCATGACTAATGATGCGTTGAATCATTGGTCAGTGGAGAAAAGAGAATAGGATAGAAAATTTCTTCCATTAGATAGGTTTGTTTGGGTTGATATTGAAGGTGTTCCACTATGTGCTTGGAGCAAAGATGCTTTTCGAAAGATCTTAGCTAAATGGGGAATATTTGCACATCTTGAAGATGACCTTGGTGAAGATGTTTATAAGAATCGGGTTTTCATTTTGACAAATTTCCAAGGGATTATTTCAGAAGATGTCAAGATTAAAGTTGATGATAATGTTTATACGATCCAGGTCAAAGAAGCTTCGGGGTGGATTCCTTCCTTCTCTTCCGATTTCCCTAAAACTACATTAGATCATTGAGAGACTCATGGGCCATTTGAGGAGGAGGAGTGTTCTCAAGATGATAATGATAAAGATGTAGTACCAGAGGATCCTTTTGGTATTTATGAAACTTTGAATAATATACATGAAGAAGTATTGGGAAATGGTACGCAATCTGGGATTCGTGAGGAAGGTGTTGACACAAGCACCCCCACCCAAAACAACCTATGCAACCGATCATTTCATAGCAGCTTCCCCAGTTGTCCGTCCCACTGAGCATCTTCATTCTTCGGCTGTTTGTTGTCCCAATACTCCAGCAGCTCCTATTACGCCACCTATTGTCGTTATTGCTGCTGTTGACGAGGCTGAAGCAGCCTCGGGTTTCTCCAAAGATGCTCATTCGGTGGGTTTTTGTGGGGGGTTATGGTAGGATGTCGGGCGTGTGTATGTCTGAAGAGTCACTTTCTCATCCTCCCGGTTTTTCTAGTTATATGGGGTTTGAAGAAAATGGGAATGCTCCTTCTACAAAACATTCTTTCCTTGTTGAAATCCAAAAAACTTTGGATATTGGTCGAGTTATGGGGTTATATATGGATGATCGTTTTGATCGTGTGAAAGAAGTTGTACAACGTCACGGGGTTACTCAAATAATAACATGAATTGTCTATCCATCAATATTCAAGGAGCGGGGTCAAGAGACAAAGGGTATGGATTCGGTCTCTTTGTAAAAATTTTAAGGTGAATTTTTTGGATATTCAAGAATCAAAATTGGAAGTTGTGGATTTATTTGTTGCTCGTTCATTTGGGGTAACCCTTCTTTTCATCATGATTTCTTACCCTCTCGTGGAGCTTCAGGTGGTATTATTGCTACTTGGAATCCGGATGTCATTTCTCAAAAGAATGTTATTTTTTTTTATTATTATTTTTTTATTGTGGTGGAGGCTAATTGGATGAGATCAGGTTTAGAGCTGATGCTTATTGTTGTTTATGCTCCACAAGATGCTGATCTTAAGAGAGCTCTTTGGATGCAAATTCTTCAGTGGTGTTTATTTTTCTGGAGAATGCATTATTATGGGAGACTTTAATGTTGTCAGGGTGGAATGGGAGAGATTGGGGTCACAATTTAACCCAACGACTGCTTCTGTTTTTAATCTTTTCATCGAGTAGGCTGATTTGGTTGATATTCATCTAGGGGCTCCCAGATTTACTTGGAGTGATAAATGGGGTTCTAAATTCAGTAAACTGGATAGATTTTTAGTCACAACTGGATTTTTGGATTACTTCCCTCATATAGATGGTTTGCTTCTTGAGAAGAAGATCCATGATCATCAGCCTATTCTTCTTATGGAGCATAAAGCTGATTTTGGCCCTCTTCATTTTCGGTTTTTCCATTCAGGGTTTGATATGGAAGGTTTTGATGATGTTGTCAGACATTCTTGGGCAATTGGTGTGGAGTCTAACAACCTATGGGTTAGATTTAAGAAGTAGCTTCAACTTCTTAAATCTAATATTCAGGTCTAGAATTTTGATTCCCATATTCGGTGTGGGTTCAAAAGGATGATGTTACAGGATTCTTTATAATCTATTGATGCTCAGATTATGGAGGGTGATGGTTCGACCTCTCTTAGGGAGCTTCAGGTAACGAATCTTAAGGAGCTTAATGAGTTAGATCATCTTTCTAATGTTTACCTTGCACAAAAAGCTAAGGTTAAATAGGTTATTGAGGGGGACGAAATTTCAGGTTACTTTCATGGTGTGGCTAATCGAAAGAGGCACCAACTTACTATTCGTGGGATTTTTATTGATGGTGTCTGGGTGGATGATCTGGGTCGGGTGAAAGAAGAATTCCGGCTTTTTTACCAAAATCTTTTTTCTAAGCAGCCATGGCTTAGACCTAAGGTTTATGGGGCTCATTTCTCTTCTCTTAATGTGAGTCAGATTCTTTCTATTCAGTCTCCTTTTTCACAGGAGGAGATCAAGAGGGCGGTTTGGGACTGTGGATCCTCCAAAGCTCCGGGCCCGGATGGTTTTTCTTTTGGTTTTAATAAAAAGATATTAAGATCTTCTTGACGTTGATGTTGTGGATTTTGTTTTTCACTTTTATCAGCATTCGAGTATCCCTAAGGGTTGTAGTGCTTCCTTCTTTACGGTTATTCCTAAAGAGTGTGATCCTAAAATAGTTCACGACTTTAGACCTATTAGTTTAATTGGTTGCCAATAAAAGATAATTAGTAAACTCTTAGCTAATAGATTGGTGGATGTTATTGGGTCTGTGGTGAGTTTGGAGTAGTCTGCTTTTATTAAGGGCAGACAGATACTTGACGGTCCTTTCCTCCTTAATGAGGTGGTTGCTTGGTGTAAGGCTTCTAAAAAAAATCCATTTTTAATCTTTAAAGTGGATTTTGAAAAGGATTATGATTCCCTCTCATGGTATTACCTTCTTGAAATTATGGGCATTATGGGATTTGGTCAGAAGTGGTGTGGATGGGTTATGGAAATGCTTAGATCCGCTAGAGCTTCAATGTTGGTTAACGGTTCTCCTACACAAGGATTCCATATTTAGAGAGGGTTAAGACTAGGAGATCCTTATTCTCCTTTTATTTTTATCTTGGCTATGGAAGGGCTTCATGTTGCACTTAAAAGGGCTTGCATGGTGGATGTTCTTAGAGGCATCTCTATTGGTGATGTAGAGATTTCGCGTCTCGTTTATGCAGATGATGTTATTGTGCTTTCCCCTTGGAGTCTCGATAATGCTACCCAACTTATTCGTATTTTTTGATGTTTCTTTCTGGCTTCAGGTCTCAAAATCAATTTGCTTAAAAGTAAATTGATTGAGGTTGGGGTTCCTCATTCGATGGTTACGGATGTGGCTAGATATGTGGGGTGTGGGGCCGATATCCTTCCATTTGTCCATCTTGGAGTGTCGATGGGTGATAATATGGGTCGGGTGAAGGCTTGGTCTACTATTATTGATAGATTTTGTGGTAAACTTGTGGTGTGGAAAGCCAAATCTCTTTCTTTTGGGGGTCGGTTTACTTTGATCAAGTCTGTTCTTGGCTCTGTGGGAAGTTACCTTATGTTCGTGTTTCCTACTCGTGTTACCGTTCTTCACATGTTGGAAGTTATGAGAGCTAATTTATTTCGGGGGTTTGACTTGGAGGAGAGGAAGATGCATTGGGTGAAGTAGGTAAAAGTTCTAGCTTCTAAAAAGGAGGGTGGCCTTGGTGTAGGAAGTCTTTTTGCTTTTAATAGAGCTATGGTGTTTAAATGACGTTGGAGATTCTTTCATGATTCTCATATTCTTTGGTTGAGAGTGGTTAAAAACATTTATGGGTTTGATGGTGGTATTGCTACTTTGTCTCCTCGTCGGTCTTATTTAGGAACGTGGAGTAGTCTCATTCGTATGATTGCTAATGTCACACCCCAAAACCGAGAACGGTGGAAACGTTCTGGGGCGGAGGACATCATGTATAGTATCACAACACGGTAATAGTAAACAAGTAAACAAACATCATCCATTGCATTAAATATATAATTTTAATACATGTGTGTTCTTTGTAATGTAATAGACACCAAAAATGAATGATCAAAATAAAAGATGATTCTTGTTTGTGCTCCGTCTTCTCAAAAACCTGTCACCGGTACCTGTCTATTGATGACCTGAGAATACAAGTTATTTTGAAAGCATAGATCAGCATTTAAGCTGGTGAATTCATAAGTATTTTAGTGTCTTTGATTTGTAAAACTGTAAGGAAAAGACTTGTAAATGTTTGATGAAAAAGTTCGTATAAGTGTGAAAACCCTAGGAAATACTATATTTCCTACTAGTATAAAATGTAGTCTTCTACCAAGACCCGATAGTTTTGGAGGTTTGTTTCTCCGCATGAATGAAGGTTTTTCCCCATGTAGCTATTATTATCAAAATATAGTCTACCTCATTGTTTATGTTAATGTGTCATAAAATAAAAGTAAAAGGGAAAATTATATAATCATTGAAATATTATCCTTTGGTACTAGGATAAACACGGCATAGTAACTTGTCGAATAGTATTAACCGTAGACATCCGTCAGTGTGCATTTTTCCTCTGTAGCTAATAGTTGGGTGTAGAATGGTTAGTCCCGTACGTATATCATAGTATCTATTCATATAATATGTAATAGTATCTCATCATATATTATGTAATAGTATCTCTTCATATAGTATGTAATAGTATCTTTTCATATAGTATGTAGTACATTTGTATAGACTCATGAATGAACTGACTCTTGTATGTTCCATTTGTACTAGGAATAGTAAATAGTATCTCCCAAACTATACCTATTATTGTTTACTAGTAATGTAGTTTGAAGTGTCCATGTATGTTTATACACCTTTGCTATACAAGGTGTTGGAGCTGAAGTCACAGCCATCTTATCCAATACATATATATATATATATATATATATATATATATACACACACACACACACTTACTGCATAAGTGTATAGATATGGTATTTAAGAATACATAAGTGGAAAAGAGGTTTTTGTAATACATTTTAAAAGGTTTGAAACTAGATATGGTATTTAAGAATACATAAGTGGAAAAGAGGTTTTTGTAATACATTTTAAAAGGTTTGAAACAATAAATAATCATGACTTGATGTTAGCTTATAAAACGATTTAACAGTAGTTTGTTTGATAAAACGATTTTCAAGTATAGTAAATCCATCTGTTTGATAGTTATTAATCACATGCGATTGATATAATAACTATGATATTCAACTTGTATTCCCCCCATAAAAGCATTTAAAAGCATGCAAAAGCATTTAAAAGGTTGTTTAAGGGGTATGAACTCACCTAAAATGAGTGATGCGATAGTAGGATCGGTAAAGGACGCTAAGTGTCAAGTGAGGACTTGAACACACACAATGATCCTAGTTAACATATAATAAAACATATATGTATCTAATTAGTCATTTAACAACTAATTAACCAAGTAAAAACACCCTAGGACATGGAAACACTTTGATTCAAGTGTTATAGGCACCAAAGGGTTGCATCTAAAGGTTGTATGGCATGACATTGGAGTTTATGGCCCAAGGACCACTCCTTATGGAGTTTACGGCCCATGACCATTTCCCCATGATTTTATGGCTATAAAATCATGGTACGAAGTTCCATATGGTGTTTTGAGGTCTTATAATAAGTCAAGATTGAGCATCCATTGATCAAGTCCAAGCCTTAAGAAGAATTAGGGGCACAATTTCACCACTTTGTAGAGTTTACGGCCTAAGGACCATTTCCTTATGTGTTTACGGCCGTAAACACTTATGGGGACATGGTTTCTTTGTTGTTTAAGGTCCTAAACACTTCAAGGAAGGATCAAGACTAGCATCCAATGCTTAGGAAGGGACTAGGGCTCATTTAACCCCAATTAGAAGAGTTTA